AAGGTATCAATTTTAACCAAAAGTCATGTAAATTATAAATATCAATTATATAATATGATATTTAAAAAAAGGTTTTGCTTCCTTTATTATCTGTTATTTATTTATATTCCAAACGAGTATGATTTGTTTTACATTAAAATAAGGCCTATACAAAAACAAACACAAAATTTGACCTATGCAGAGGTACTGACTTCAAATTTTACCAGTATTAAACCAACTGAAGGACAAACAAACACAAATAATCTAACAGAAATACTAGAAAGTATGTTCGCAAATCTACAACAAGTCATGATTGCCATGATGGACAAAATGATAGATCGTATGGTCCAGCTGGTTGCAAGTCTAGTGTCAAAATGATCCGCAACGTCAAAATTATGACATGGAATGCCAATGGCTTGACTGAACGTCGTGAAGAACTTTATACGTTCCTAGTAACAGAAAAAATCGATGTGGCATTAATATCGGAAACAAGGTTCACTGCCAAGTCCCATTTATCATTAAATAACTTCAATATCTACACCACAAATCACCCGTCAGGCAACAGCCACGGAGGAACTGCAGTAATTATCAAAGAGAACCTTAAGCATTACGTACAGGAAGAATACCAAAACGAAAAAATTCAAGCGACAACTATAAAACTGCTACTTAAAGACAAAACAGATATAACACTATCTGCGGTATACTGTCCACCTAGACACAGAATAACTGAAACAGATTTAAATAAGTACTTCTCAACACTCGGACACAAATACATATGTGGAGGTGACTGGAATGCGAAACATACCCATTGGGGATCTCGTCTCATCACTCCTAGGGGTAGACAACTTTACCAAGCAGTACAAACGCTTAAATTAGAGTGCATGACTCATTGTAAGCCGACATATTGGCCAACAGATAGAAATAAGATACCTGACCTTCTGGATTTTTATGTAACTAAAAACATCGGCCGAAATTATATGACTATAGAAGCCTATTCTGACTTATCATCTGACCACACACCTGTCGTATTAAACGTTAACTCAACAGTTGTACTCAAAGAACCCCCCTTAAGAATATACAACAGAAACACAAACTGGCAAGAATTTAAAGATAAAATAACCTCAGAATTAAATTTAAGCACCACAATCCAAACGACAAACGACATAGAGACAGAAATAGACAAACTGAACAAAATTATACATAGTGCAGCAAAAACAGCAACTAAAGCAAAGAAAAGACTCCCACCAAAATACAACGAATATCCAAAATCTATCAAGGACTTAATAGCACAACGACGACACCTCAGAAAAATATGGCACAGGACTAGATATCCATCGGACAGAACAGCTTTTAATAGATCCTCTGAAACATTAAAAAAGATGATCTATGCATTCCAAAACGAGAATCTTCAAACTTTCCTTTCTGGGTTAACTCCTACTATCGATACAAACTACTCTCTATGGAAGGCTACTAAAAGCCTGAACCGTCCACAAATGCAGATACCACCAATTAGAACAGCCCAAGGAGATTGGGCTAGATCAGATGCAGAAAAAGCTACAATATTTGCAGAACACCTCCGTAAAGTATTTCAACCATTCCCAGAAATAACTGCAGAACATAGGACTGAAATAAAAGAATACCTCCATGGTGCACTTCAAATGTGTCCGCCGATAATGTCAACAAGTCCCCAAGAAGTATTAAAAGAAATACAAATGCTGAAAGAGGGAAAATCTCCAGGATACGATCTAATAGACGCAAAACTTCTGAGAAATTTACCAAAAAAAGGGATTGTGCAAATAGTAAGGATATTTAACGCCTGCCTCAGACTCTCATATTTTCCTGCACACTGGAAGATAGCACAGGTCGTTATGGTACCCAAACCCGGTAAACCACCGCACGATGTCTCTTCCTATAGACCCATAAGTCTCTTGTCAATCACTGGAAAACTCTTTGAAAGAATTTTGTTAAACAGAATAAAAGATTACCTTAAAGACACCATCCCTAACCACCAATTTGGGTTTCGAGAGCACCATGGTACTGTAGAACAAATACACCGCATTGTGGACACTATAAACAGAGCGCTAGATAGTAAGCAGTATTGTTCAGCTGTATTTTTGGATATAAGTCAAGCTTTCGACAAAGTCTGGCACGAGGGTCTTCTCTATAAAATAAAAAAAACGATACCCAACTCTTTCTACCACATAATTAAGTCATACCTCCAGGATAGATGCTTTGAAGTGAAAGTGAATACTGATCTCTCAGCCTTGTATGAAATAGAATCGAGTATACCCCAGGGTAGTATACTGGGACCAATATTGTATACTATATTTACAGCTGACCTACCAACCATGGATCAAACGATAGTTGCTACATACGCAGATGATACCGCAATTCTATCCTCACATTCCAATCCAGTAACAGCAGCTGCACAGGTTCAATTACATCTCTACGAAATAGAGAAATAGCTTAAAATATGGCGAATAAAGGCTAACCAAAGCAAGTCAACCCATGTCACATTTACCCTCAGAAGAGAAACTTGCCCTCCAGTAACATTAAATGGCGAAGAAATCCCTCAGGAAGAACATGCAAAGTATCTAGGTATGCACTTGGACAGGAGACTCACATGGCAAAAGCACATATGGACTAAACGAAAGCAACTGAATATAAAACTGCGTAATTTATACTGGATGATAGGTCGGCACTCACGGCTGAGTCCTGAAAGCAAAATTATAGCATACAAAGCCATCCTGAAACCAATATGGACCTACGGCATACAGCTATGGGGTACAGCCAGCAATAGTAATATCGAAATACTTGAAAGATTCCAAACGAAAACACTGAGAGCAATGTTTAATATTCCACACTATATAAGCAACAAATATATTTATCATGATTTAAAAATAAAAACCGTCAAAGAAGAGATCACCAACAACAGTATAAAATATCAAGAGAGATTATCTAGACACAAGAATGCACTAGCCGTAAAACTAGGTGGATGTGGATCTCTACAGCACACAAGATTAAAAAGACATAGTGTCCCTTCACTCTTAGATAGATTCTGCCACAGGAAGTGAAAGAAACCCAACAATTTGGAAAGGCTCACCGCGTTTAAACAAAATAAAGATAAATTATCAGACAAAAGCAGGGCTTATTGTTGCTAAAAACAGATAGCCATGATGCAGAATAAGAAAGGAAAAAAAAAAAATATAAGGAATAAAAAAGAAATCCAGTACACAGAACTCAGACTCAAAATTCGTGTTGACTGATGTAATAAGAGAGATTTTTTATATATAAGTAGCTACTTACGAATATACAATACATGTCAATAGTCAATCGTTTATTGCAAACTAAGTATAGATATATCTATCTTACTGCGACAGATACATTAAATGGAAAATTACATTATAAGTGCTTTAAACTTAGTCGCCCTTTTCGGACACAGCAAATTGTTAGAGGGCTTTTAAAATAAATTGACATATAAAATTAAATATAGAAAAATGACAAATCGTCATGACAATATTATTAATTTAGGTAATTCAAATTTTGTCACGTCCTTAGATGTTCCTTATTACGGTGATCATTATCATTAAGTGTAAGTTTTTTTTTTATTGATTTTACTAAGTTTACCGTTTTATTATTATTGTTGTAAAAATAAATATTTTTTTTTTATTAAAATTGTATTTTATTCAAAACGCTTTACTACTCAAATACTTAAAATTAATAAAGATTTAAAGCAAGTGTAGTGTATAGACATAGACTATTTTGCTGGTAAAAATTATTATCGCTCCCTGTTTCAGTAGTAGTGATGATTACGTTCTAATTTTTTAATCTTTTTTTTGGGATCGCGACCAAAGTGTGACCAATGGGTGAAAGGAACCCTATTACTAAGCCTTCGCTTCAGGTGCGGTCGCAGCCTGAAATTTTGGAGGGGGTCACTCACTACACTAATAAAAAATAGGTATCTGGAATAAAATAAACATTATTCCACAAGACACTTTTTGACACAAGATTTTTCAATTTGACCTTAGATTTGGGGGGGGGGGGGGGTCATGTAGCTTTCCGTCAGCGGCTTCGCACGCGCAGAACAAAACTTTGATCATACATTGTAACCCCTTAGAGTATAAATAAGAAAATACTACCATTTTCTATTTCTCTAGGCAATTAGAAGCCTAATTAATTACCAACTCCGATATTAACAACCTTAAAAAAAAATTTAAAATTTATACACATTTATCCCCATTTTAAGGAAGTTTCCTAAAATCCTTTTTAGGCAACGACTCCTAATAATTACCTACTTTCGTGTAAAATTTCACCTTCATATTTAAACTTTTAATTTAAATTAAAGTTGATGCTGTCACTTTCTTTGTACACGCGGAATACGGTTGCTCGCTTCTTCACTACTGTGTGCGTACACCTTATCATTTTGTTTGTTGTAGCTCTCTTCTACGGTAAAAAATATTTCATCCGAAAAAAGGATTTCCGATATTTTTTTCCCGCGTACCGCTTCAACAAAGCGCGGCATCTCATCAGTCTCAGGTCCATTAGACGAGCATTCAAATGAAGTCCTGTTTTTCTTCGATATGCCCGAAGCCCTAAATCTTCATTTAACACCCTTTTCACCGTGGTTCTACTTAACCCCATCTGAAGGGCCAACAGTTTCTGCTTACCTTCAAAGCTTTTATTACTGCTGGAGTCCTAACAGACCGAGGGCAACCACTTCTTGACCTGTCATCTACACTAGAGTCTTCATTGTATCGTTTGATGGTACTATAAACGAATCTTTTGGTTATATTCAAATTTTTAAGTATGTCAAAAATTTGAATTGGCGTGTAACCGCAACGATGCAACGCCATAACTGCAACAAGGTCTTCTTTACGCGTCCACTCCATATTAAAAATGAGTAAAATTCTAAATAGTATACATTTTTATTTTCATGAACAATTTGAAATTCGAATTCAATAAACTTTTTTGTGGCCAGCATTCGCAAATAACAAAATCATTAATTTAATAAATAAACTTACTTTATGGAGTATGACGACCCTATCAGCGGATTTGAGGTGGTGGAGCTGATGAGTGACGAGAATACGTGTGGAGTGTCTCAGCAGACCCAGCACGCACTTGGAGACCAGCTCCTTGCCTACGTGCGTGTCCACTGCAGACAACGGATCGTCCAATAAGTAGACGTCAGCCTAAAAATGTTTAAATCATGTAGATTTTTCAAAACACACCTGACGCTTGTCATTCTACTAGCATTTACACAGTTTTCCATCAAGTAACCTTTTTGTCATATTATTACGCAGATTTGCTATGAATATTTCTTTCCAAAGAAGTTTATACAACAACAACATACTAAGATAATTAAAACGGTCTTTACTGCACCTGTCTGTAGCAAGCGCGAGCCAATCCAACACGAGCTCGCTGTCCACCACTAAGACTTGTTCCTCTCTCACCTACTAGGGTGGAATCTCCATGAGGCAGCAGTTCGAAATCCCGAAGAAGGGCACATGCAGTGACCACCTTATAAAGCATTAAAGGTAAACACTGTAGTACTAAGAAATAGCAATCAAATAACTATACTGACGCTATTACACATTTTACCTTTTTATAACGTACAGGATCATATGGCAAACCAAATAGTATATTTTGTCTAACTGTAGCTACAAACAACCAGGGTTCTTGACTTGCATACGATATACGAGCGCCTCCCAGTGAAATAACACCCTCTGTCGGCGGCAATTCACCCAAAATGAGGTGTAACAAAGACGACTGTCAAACAAAAATGATCATAGTTTAATCAATATGCATTTTCTTACTTGTATTTTCATTCATCTTTTAAGGAACCCGAACTCACTTTTCCGGCTCCTACAAGTCCAGCTATTCCTATGAATTCACCAGGCTGAATAGTAAGGTTAAGATTCCTTAAATTGTTAACAATAGCGTCGGGTTGCCAGCTAGCGCTCACATTAGCCAGCACAAGTGCCGTAGGCTTAAGCTTTCCTTTTTGAAGTTCTTTTTCTTTTTCTGTTAGTCCATTCAGAGATAGACCGTTGAGTGAATTCTTTATAAGTGAATTTGCTTCTTTTTCTTTCTCCGAATCTTTTTCATCTAAATTTAAGAACTCCTGCAAGAAATACGAAATATACCTTTCATGCACCTCAACATAGCGTTTATAAAATTTTTCAAAGAATAAATTAAATTTCTTGCCTCAATTCGTCTGATGGAAACTTTGGTTTCGGCTAAGAAGGACATTGCCATAGGGAAAAATATGTTGCACGCCAATTGCAACAAGTTGAAGTACTGGGCGAGGGAGAAGGTAATTTCTGCCCTGATCTGACCACCCATCACCAAGAAAGTTACGAGCGTGGCATAAAGAATGAATCTCTCCGTAAACACCATCAAGGCTGTGGAGAACCCCTTGACCATAGACGTCCGGCGAATGAATTTCACTTCAAGCCTAAAAAGGTAAACTTATTTATTTACGTTAATTTAAGAATAACAAATTATATTCTTTATTGCACACAACAAAGGACACACGAAACATAAAGTCATGAAAGGGAAGAAAGAGTATACAATAGGCGTCCTTAGTGCTAGAGTAAAATCATGCGTCATGAAGAATAACTTCGACATGGAGAGGGAACGTATTAGGTCGTTGGCCTTTCGCTGCAATATGTTGGCTCGTAGATTTGTTTATCTACGAGCATTATTATATTGGACACGCAACCTGCGTGTCCAATATAATAATGCCGTAAGAGTCCTACTGGGGTTGCCGTGGCGGTGCAGTGCATCCAAAATGTTTGCAGATGCTGGGATGGATGGCTTTACTGCCATTATGCGTAAAAGGTGTGCCTCTGTGCTGACACGTTTGCTTAACAGCAGGAGTGGTATCCTAGAGGTATTTATTTATTGATAGAGAGTTACCTTTTTTGCAAGGATGGGCGTATCCACACAATGATCAAATTTTTGTGCGGTTAAAAACCTTGGGATCCCAAGTTAATATGTATGTGTGTATAATACTGTGTTGTATGTAAATTTTGTAATTTTACTAACCCTAGCTTAACAATATTGTTACTAACACTTACTACGGGCACGACCTGAAATAAATATATTATAATAGTTACGATTCAGAAATCACTGCTATTTTTATGTGCTAGCGCTATTTTAGTTTCTTCTGGTCTGCAGGATGTTAATTAAATTAATATTATTAATAACAAACAAACTGTGCTAAATTTAAATGTTACATAACTTTGAAAATTTTTTAGGACACGGTACAGGTGATTTTTACTAAAACTAATCTTGTAACACCATAGCATTAAATATCATCACGCCGCCCGTTACTAGATGGCGTTGTACGCATGTGAATCGCGCTATCGTATACCGACACCGATTGTATGGTACATCATAGGATCAAATATCATCACGCCGACCGCTACTAGATGGCGCTGTACGCATGTGAATCGCGCTATCGTATACCGACACTACTTGTATAAGTTGTTCTTGGGAAATTGACCAGATTGTCGCTTCGTAGGTAGGGCCTATTGTCTTGCACGCTATACGCTTCCACCACGTGGGACGTCTTAGTGTCTTGATAATAGTATACATGTACTTGCACCCTTGTGGGATACAGTAATACCATTTCTCTTACAAATATTGTATAGTAATCAGAATATAAGTATTTTCTACCAACGCCTATCTTTATTTGACGTCAGTCTTCTCACACTCCCCCTTCGCCCTCCCGCACATTCTTACAATCTTTATTTTCTTCTTAGGATTTTATGCTCAAAACGGAGTGCCCAAATATGGAATGCCTATGGCATGTGACAACTTTTTACTGTTATAATTACTAAGTATATTTGATGAGCTATTTCTTTATAATGTGTAGGCATACAGTATAAGATACAGTATGGATTACATATAGAAGTTCAATGACTAGCGAAAAATATTGAATTGCGTTTTCTTTAATCGATACCTAAACAATATATATACCTATATAAATCGCCTTGATTAATCTTGATTTATTTTATAACAGTCATGAATTTTAAATCAAAGAGATAATGATAATGTGATAAAGATATACAGTGGTGAACATCTGAATTGAAACAGCAAGTAATACTTAGCAATAATAATTGATATATTTTAACTCATGTTCCTTGAGATTATTAGAAATCGTGCGGCTCTATCTAGATGAGATATGAGCAATGCAAGTACTAAAAAATCTTATTTTAATAAAATATAGCTTTTTTCAATAGGAACTGGTTTCTATTTATAAATAAAATCACAAAATTATTGGTTACAATTTAGATTGTTTTTTTTTTAAAGTAGTCTTGGGCAATTTAAATGGAATACCAAAAGGTTTATATCATCACATCGGCTTCGTACACTAGCGTAGGAATACGAAAGGTCCCATTTTACATTACATTTTGACAAAATGGCGAAAATTGTTTTTTTTTATAAATAAAAAAAACACCGAAATGTAGTAAAAATACATATTTTTGTGGTTGTTCTTATTGTTACACGCTTTAATTTTCAAGAAATTTGAAGAACACTCATTATTTCTATCGGAATAAAATTATTGTTTACTCTTTATTTCCTTTATATTACTTAACAAAGTATAAAAGCTTATTTAAATATGATATATCAAAATAAATTAAATGGAAATTCGTATAAACATTAAGAGCGAATAAAAAAAATACTTAAATACTTTCAAGTAATAAATAATACGTACGTTACAAGCAGGGTGCGTTAAAAAAAATAAGGAAAAAAACTGAATCAAAGGATATTTTAACACAGGTACTCACCTTCGCAATCTGTCGACGATTTTTTCAAATGGTTTTTCCCATGCGTACATCTTGATTACTTGGACCCCACTAACAAGTTCGCTCATGACTCTCACCCTCTCATCGGTACGTTTTGCTATTTTTCCTCTGTATATACCCTGGAGATTGCTGAGGTACACTAAAATAAATCACAATATTACTTTGTTGATCTTTAACAATGCTCTCATAAGTTTATAAGCATGATAAATAATAAATATCTACCTTGCACCAATACTACTTGGATGAAAATAACAATTAAGGCAGCGAATACTGCGTATGTAACGTGTTGCCAAACTAAATATGACACGACTGGCACCACTATTGGCATCACCCACAGGTAGTTGAGGAATAACGCCACCATATCGAAACGGTTGACATCGTTCGACATCAGGTTTATGACTTGACCAGTTTCAGTTTTGCTCATGCCGACGTGATCAAGTTTCAAGATCTAAAAGTAAATATAATATCACGGGTTGTTTGTTAGTAAGCCTAAATTTTCTATAAAGGAGAATGCGCGAATTTCTTTCATAAGTACCCCAACCTCGCCGACTGGGACTTCTTACATTTTATGGGTATTCAATATAATAATGTCCATGCGATCAGAGCGGTCACAATCACAAATTTTCTTTAGATTTAAACATCTAGCAGTTAAATGCTTAAAAAAATATATGTATTCCTATTTCTTCTTTCAAATGTTTAATACTTGTAAAAGTACATATTTATTTGACATTGTGCATTACCTACAATGCGAAGAACTGGCGCTGCCTTGCAGCTTAAGAAAGGCTACAGAAAATTCGACACAGCCGTCAGGCCCGCGGTAGCATAATGGTCAGTGCATTCGCCCGGATAGCAAAGGACGTGGGTTTGAGTACGAGCATAAATTAATTTTAATTAACGACTATGTTATTGATTTACTTTATTTGTATATGTGTATAGTGTACAAGACCTTTTTTTTTTAATACGCAGGTAAAAAATCTATTTACAGACGACGGCGCCTTTAAGAGGCACACCGCCGAACGGACCTCACACCTGGCTCCCGCAAGTCTTACGAACCCCCCAGTGGCTGCCCACCGAGGACCCCGCAACTCTTCTTTCTTCCGCGTCTCCGCACCTAGCAGCCTCCCGGCCTAGCCGGGGCTTCACGGCAGGGGTCTCCCGGGGTATCACGGGGACCCCGCAGACGTGCGCGGGTAGGCCGGCGCGTGGGGGCCCCCCGTCCGCTGCGGATGGCTACTTGGGCGTGCCCGTGTAGCTCCCTCCGCCGCCCCCCTCTTTGCAGGACAGAACTACAAGGGGGGCTGCCGTCACGGGGTCCGTCGGTGGCCGGCACGGCCAACACCATGCCGATCAGCGAGGTACCCCCCGGGTAGGGTCATGGGACGGGCGCAGCCAGGGCGCGCCGCCGTTCTCTCCTACCCGTCCTCGTTTGGCGGGAGGGAGCGGCCAGAGGAGCATCCTCCCGCTCCCTCTCAGCCGCCTCCTTCTGCGAGATAACGTTCTCGCAGAAGGAGGCGACTGCCTCCCATGCCCTGTCGCTGCGGAGCATGATCTCCACTATGCTCCGCAGCGAGAGGGCTTCGCATCCCAGCGCCGCAATGAGCTCGCGGCGCACTCCAATATGGTGTGCTCGGCCGTGTCGTCCGGGGCGCCGCAATGACATTGCGGCGTCTCCTTCCGACGTGCGACACGGTGCAGATAGTGAACGAAGCATCCATGCCCGGTCAAGATCTGCACAATGCGGAACGTGCGGCCGCCGCGCCGGCGACCTAACCATTCCTCCAACACCGGACGAATGGCTTCAATCGTTGGATGGAACGGACTTGCCTCAGCTCTGCTGGGGCAAGTCTTTCACCCCGCTCCCTGGCCTCGACCCAACCTCGATGCATTTCTGCCAGAACCTGTGCATCGAGGTCCCACGGCGTCGCGCCTGCGAACAGGCGGCGCTGTTACTGACCGTGCGGTACGCTCGCATGGCCCGGGTCGCGATGACCCTCTGCGGACGTGCGGGGCTTGAGGCTCTCAGCCCAAACCGGAGCTCCGTAAAGTGCCATCGACCGTATCACCCCGTGATACAGTCGACGGCACGCAGCACCTGGTCCCTCCACGTTCGGGAGGACCCTGCCGAGTGTCGCTGCACTGGCACACAGCCGTGGAGTGAGGAGCTTAAAATGCTCCTCAAAACTCCATCGGGGATCCAATACCAGGCCGAGGTACTTCATACTTCCCTCGACCGGTATTCGGACCCCCTCCACCCGGATACGGAGCCCCGGAGTAGTGCTGCGACGTGGGCCACGGAACATCATGGCCCTCGATTTGTTGAGGGCTACTTCCAGGCCCAGGAGGTGGATGCGTCGGACGACCATCGATGTGCCGACCGACGCTAGGTGTACCACATCCTCCACCTCCTTTGCTTTCGCCGCGACAAGAGTGTCGTCGGCGAAGCAGACAACCTCCATTCCCGGAAGGAGGCTGCCTCGCAGCACCCAGTTGTACCCCAGGTTCCAGAGTAGTGGACCCAGCACTGAACCCTGGGGTACACCTGCGGCCGTGGCCCGTGAGCGGATATAGTATGCATTTAAGCACCGTCCCCGCCCACTGGGCTAGTGAGCGGGGGTGTGTGTGACTCATCCGGCTAAAGAGATAGCCGGGAATACTCCACTAAACTCCCCGGGAACTTCGCCTCGCCATAATTGCGGGCCACGAGCATGCGCAGGGCGCTGGCTCGCGTAGGCCTGCTCGGCGGTGCCCGCACAGAAGTCTGCGCGGGCTCATAGTGTACAAGACCTAGCCCAAGTCCCATACAAATATGAAACGTCTTCTTTCATTAGTTCTTTTCAAAATTAGGGATTTTTTATGGCTGTATGCCTATGAAGATCGGACTGTGGGTGAAAGAATGTTTGTTAATCCTGCAAGCGTCCATAAGCCACAGTACCCTCTGACCATGGACCGTGTGCTTGTTTGTCTTCCATTTGTTACAAAAAATATACTTTAAAACAACAATTAGGAGAGGCTACTTTTAATCTCGAGACCTACCTTTCTGTATAAAAGCGAGCAGCATGCTATTCTGACTCTCATGCCAATACGTCCTTGTGCTAAATTTATGTGACTGCCCATTATCGATGTTAATGCAGAAAGGAAATTCATAGCGAAATTGAATATATGTGCGTACTTATAGGTTTCGGCATTTTTCTCACCGGAGAAGTAAGCAATAAATAACGATAAAGTGTATGGTATAAGCGGCCTGAAACAGAATAACACTTATATAGAATAAAGTACTTTAATGGGAAATGCTTATAGAATTACGATTAACAAATATTTTTACGGCTAAACTGTACTTCCAGGGCCCAAGTGGTGATACTTCACACTAGGTTAGGTTAGTGTTGTGACCATAACGCGCGAGCCGAGCGAGCGCCAGAAAAAAATATTTAAAGAACCTTTTCTACAAAAAAAAGTTCGAGTATTACCTCTTGGGCCCTGGAAGTACAGTTTTACCATTTTTACTATTTCTACTACTATATTTTTACTTTTTAATATTTCATTATACTGCGTCATAGCCTATCGAGTTTCAATTTGTAAAAGAAATAAGGCTAGCCAAAATAATTGAATAAATCAATAACTTTTGCGTGAGTTCGTTAAAAATCTTTTATGATTCTCATTCAACTTCGGCTCCACTTTGTTTTATCCCTTCCTACTGCTAGATAAATGCCGCAGTGGTTTTATCGTTCAAAAGATTACATTTTTTTTTACATATTTCAAAGAAGGCTATAATATATCCTATCAACTTACCATAATATGATGTAGAGTAGTCCTACGAATATACCGCATAATAAGTACTCGACCCAAAAGGCGCTGATGATAGCGCGTGACAATGATGGTTTGCCACCACTCCTACGACACTTTTGTTGCTCATGTCGCCAGGCTTCTTCTAGCCGGTCACCCAAGCGGCCCGAGTGGTCGCTCTCTCGGGCCGGCCAGAGATCCTCGATCTTTATAGCCTGTTTGTAACCTCGACGGAAAAGGCTGAAACTCCATCTGCAAAAAAAAATTGAGAAATAGTAAAAGAGTTTAAAAATCTATATGTTTTTTACTTTAATACTTAGGAAATTAACTATTTTATGTTTTACAATACTGAATTCTAATGAAACAACTAGTAAGGTGCGTAATAATTTCGTAAAACGAGTAGGTAGGTGATTAGTAAGGGTAAAACTGAATTGCTTGCTTGAGCAACTCGTCTCTATCTATAGATATATAAATATGAATCCTTATGTCCCTTAACACGCCACTTAGAACGATTTAATCGATTTAAACCATCGTTTTTTAGGTGACGCTGCAATCGGGTATAGTGTTTAGGCTATTTTTAATCGGGCAGGACAACGTCTGTCTGCTCTAAGGTTACCAAATTTACTGTTAAAAACAGTATTATACTGCTTTTTACTTCATTATACTTTTTACTGATGAAGAAAAATAAAATATAGAAAATACTGTTTGCCTGTTTGTTTGGGTCAAAAGTACAAGTATAGAAGATTCGCTTTGGAAAATCAATTAAATAAATAAGGACTCTATGGCCCGATACAATTAGGTGCAATTTAGATCGCACAGCGGAAATTATATTCACCTAAAAGTTGCCTCTCTTTCTATCTCGTAACTCATACCTTTTCTGAAGACGTCAGGGTTGTCTTCTTTTAAAGAATAATTTAATCTGAATCTTTGGTAACTAAATGGGTATGTTTCTATAACTCTACTTTTGTGAACAAAATAAAATGTAGTTTCAAATAAACAAAGGCTAAGAAAGGCCGTACGTAGACTCACGCCGAGAACACCCGAGAAATGGCAATGTCATTAGTTTCTCGCCTTCTTATTCTCACGCTTGTCTATTCTCTCTTCAGCGTGTCTGTTTTTTTGCCCGATTCAAAGAGTTTCTCGGGCGTGAAAAGAAAACCGTATCACAATCTCGTTTGGTCTCACTATACGATATACGACATGGGAAGTGGTTATCAATCGCATGTGTGTTTTGCATTAATAATTGAATTTGTGACATGCGCCAGCGCCTGAGCCTTCTTTTTTCTTATATTTTTTTGAAGTGAAAACTTCTTCAGAGGCATTCTACACTTTTTTTGTATGGGTAAAATATCGGGGATCAGACGAAAACAATACAATTGGAAATAAATATTGTATTCTACCACATAATTTATAGTACTTTAATACTGATAATTAAAGCAATTCGTGCAAAATGATTCCCTAACTATTCCAAAATATCAAAAATGCACAACGTTAATATTCAAGTTTTCACTTCTGCCGGCACTCCCGGAGTGCAACCCGTCGTTTTTTTTGCTAAATGAATATTCATACCTTATTACTCTCTTTTAATTATTTTTTCTACTTCGTCACAATATGGCGCCTAATTTTGCCCATATTGAATTTTGATTACTATCATATCTTTAGTAGCACTCCTATGATTGAGACGAATCGTTTGATGTATGAATCATCAAAATCAGTCCAGGCGTTTGGTCTCTAGTGTGCCACAAAGGAACAAACATACATATATATAGACTGTTAAACACTATACCCTGTCTGCGCGTCGCGCTTGGCGCTCTTGCACTGCGCAGTCGGGTAAAAATAATGATCTATAAGCTGTGCTGGAAGCAATATAACAATATAAAATATTTAAAATTTACCCCAAAAAAATAGATCACTAGAAAGATGGTTGACCCTTTCTAAGACAGGGTCCTTAACTATCATCTGACCTGTTACGTAGAAGATTACTCTTTGGTTCACGATCAATACGGATTTAGGCCAAATCGATCGACGGGTGACCTTCTAGCGTAAGTAACACACATCTGGGGTGAAGCTATTGACAAGCTGAGAGACTGGCTATCAGCCTTGACATCGCCAAGGCTATTGACAGGGTCTGGCACAAAAGCCTACTCTCCAAGCTTTCGGCATACAATCTGCCTACTCAGTTCTGCGACTGGGTAGCTAACTTCCTGCATGAGCGTAAAATTCGCGTCCTTACGGACGAATGTAGTTCAGAGTTCATGTCAGTGAATGCCGGTATTCCTCAGGGCTCCGTACTATCCCCCACTCTTTCTGCTGCATATCAATGATTTGATTCCTCTTAGGAATATGTATTGCTATGCAGACGATAGTACAGTGCATGCGAGATACTTTGGACACGCAGCGGCTGGACAGGTAGAAACCAAGGAGAAACGGGAGAATCTTGCCGCTGAACTTAATCAGGCTTTTGACCACATTTCTGAATGGGGTACCAGGAACTTGGTTGAGTTCAATGTAAAGAAAACCGAGGTTTGCGGTTTAACAGCAAAACCATCGCCATTCCTTCCCCTTCCTCCTTCTCTTCAGAACACACAACACTGGCGCTACAGAGCAACATCACCATGCTCGGTATGGAAGTTCGCTCAGACCTGAATACAAAGGACTGCATCGAAACCGTGATAAAAAAAACAGCTTCACGCAAACTCTGGAGTCTGAACAAGGTGCGGGTTTTTTTTTTGCCTGATCAACAAAACGCAAGTGCGGTCCTGCGTGGAATATTGCTCGCACCTCTGGCATGGCTCCGCTAAGTATTTACTATGATGCCTTGGATAGGTTGCAGTGGCGCGATGCCCGCATCATTGGCGATGACGAAGTAACTAAAAAACTCGAGTCTCTACAATTACGCCGTTTATCATGTCATTTAGCGCATGCTACCGACCAAACCACGGCGAGTGTTCTGAGGAGTTATTCTCCCTTATCCCTCCATTACCTTTTCTTCAGAGGACCATGCGTGCTGGCCTACGTTGCCATCGACTTACTGTAACCACTATTACTACACAACAAAGAAAGGACATGGCTAAGAAACTGCCCTTAACGTGTATAAATATTTCGCACTAGCCCACTTACGATATTTTTTTATTAATTACTACGTGTTTATTATTCTCATACAACTTTCCAGAAATAATCAAATATTTAAAATTAATAAAAATAAATGAACAATAAATGTACACAAAAAATATTTGTGTAAGTATATCGAAATAAACAATATTATTTTTAAACTCCTTCAAAATATGACTTTTTTGGGCCTAATTTTTATTATAACAAATCACGGAAGGCCTAAAATAATAAGATTTTATTATTCTGAACAGGCTTGAGACAAGGCTGTATGATAATTTATCCTTTAATTTTTGAAAATGGACAAAATAAACCTGTCAGATCGACGATAACAAATTATTTTATTTTTGCTATAAAAAACTTTTTGTGAAGAGTTAATCAGAGAAATGGGAAGAAAGATTCTAAGAAAATGCGAAATTGATGACTCTGTAAATAATTGGCAACATCTTTTATCAACTGTAGTAAGGTAATGACATAGTATAGTAGGAGTTCTCATAATTTTCAAGATTGTGACTTTATCGATAGTTCCTGAGCCGTTTTTCATAGAAATTATAAATATTCAGCCATTTACCATTAAATATTACAAAGTACAGTATTTATACATTGCCAGGGCAGTCGCTCATACAACTTTACCACCTTTGATGACTCAGTTCTTTGTCTTACTATTCGTAAGTGGAATTCTTTGCCCGCGCACGTGTTCCCACCTTCCTGCAATCTGGGGTCCTTTAAGAGAGGCGTGAAGAAGCATTTTTATCAATCAATCAATCAATTATTTATTTGCTAATACAGGTGATACAAAGGTGTTAAATTATAATACGTTAGAAGCTTATTCCATATTTCGCCACAAGGCATGCAAATTAAAATCAACAAATAGGTAGATCCATTTACAAAGATGTGTCCTCTTAAAATTCCTTAATACTATAATACGCCTTTTTAAGTAATACATTCCTTAATTTGGAACAAAATATATTGGAGCTTTCAGCTTTTCCAATTTCAAGTGGAATTTTATTATATACCTGAGGTGCCATACACAGACAGTATTAGACATAAGCCATGTCTTGTTAGATGGTAAACAAAGTCAGGTTTCGAATCTTCTACTATTAAAAGTAACATATAAGTGTAAATTTGCTCTAACAAAAACAGCAATTTCATATATGTAAATACACGGCAATGTCAAACGTTTTAATGATATAAAATGCGGTTTACAACTGTCAGTTTGCTTTATTTTACAAATAGCCCTTATACATTTTTTTGAGCTTTAAATGAATATTCTTTGTCAGCTGAGTTCCCCCAAAATATGACTCCATACCGTAACGTAGATGCTACATTCGCATGATGCGCTATTAATACTGTTGATATATGGACCACATTACCGAGCATGTATAGAACATAGGAGAATTTACTGAGTTTAACACAAACACTCTCAATATGCGCTTTCCAGTTATGGTTACTACAATCAACAGTTATACCTAAAAACTTTATTGAGTCCACTTTCTTAACGCTCTTTCCACAATGCTCAACGTCGATTGATACGGGAGTTCTAGGTCTATTTCGAAATGTCATAACATGAGTTTTGTCTATATTAATTAATAAATTATTATTTTTTAACCAGTCTACAATTTTGTCAAGTGTCATAGTTATGTCAGTTTCTAAAAGGGATAAACTTTTATTTGGAAAAATTACAGTGCTGTCATCAGCAAACAGTTTCATAGGTGAAGTAGTAAGTACTGTGAGGAAGTCGTTAATATATGCTAAGAATAGTGGTGGCCCAAGAACACTGCCTTGAGGTACACCATAATGTACCTGTCTATAATTTGACATATATTTAACATAGTGTTTTGATTTAAAGCATATTCTCGTAATAAGAATTGCTTGTTCTCTATTGCTTAAGTAGGACATTAATAAATCCAAGTCATTGCCTCTAATGTCATAACTCATTAATTTAGATTTTAATATATTATGACCAACGTAATCAAATGCTTTTGTTAGGTCCATGTATAACGCACGCACAGGAATGTTTTTGTCAACTTTAGTCATTATTTCATCAACAAACTTATGTAAAGCCATGTTTAAATTTTTATTCTTTTGGAACCCTGTCTGCTCATTTGCTAGTATATTGTATTTTTCAAAGTAACTATAAAGAC